GTAACGCTGGGGTTGTTGTCATTTGTGTATAAGACGGCGGATTTGGCCAGTGGACCTGTGTGCTAGAACCATGCCTGTTGTCCTGGCGCAAAAAGTTGGCACCGCTATCAAGTTGTTTGACATCATGGGGCACCGGAATAGAACCATAAGAGCCCAGGGGCTGTCGTTGGCGGTCCTCATCTCCTGTCTTGCCGCGTAAGATGCCCAACTCATCTACGCCAACATCAACCCGTCTCCCATATCTAACAGCCCACACCCACTCAGCATGGCCGCAAGCCAGCTCATTACCAGCCGCGTGGTCCCCTGGCGCGAGCCCTGCCCGACCGTCACGGCCACGGCCACCGTCTGCTCGACCTGCCTGCGCTGGGACTGCGCCTTCTTCACGACCGTCAGCAACCGCTGCGACTGCCCCGCCGCCGTGCCCACCGTGACCACCAGCTTCCCCTGCGGCGACGGCGCCGCCGCGTGCGCCGGCGTCGGCTGCTACACCACCTACCGCTGGGCCAATCCGCCCGAGGGCTGCGCGCAGGCTCGGCGAAACGTCGTCCTCGGCGAAGAAGCTGCTGCTCCTGTGGTCACCCCCGCCGCCACCGCGTCGTGCTCGACGGTCGTTACCGTGTCGACGTTTCCGGAATCTTGTTCTTGCACCTCGGGCTTTTGTGTCCGCGACAGTCTGTCCATGCATTCTTTTTGCTCCACGCCCTTAGACCCTGCTCGACTTGAACGAGCGTCCTGTCCTGTTGCTGACAGATTGTAAAATAGAAATCGTAACTCTCCCGTGCGGCTGCTCGAGGCTCGACGTGGCGACCGCGACGGAGACGCTCAAGTGTCCTTCGTCCGGGTCGACATGCCAGCAGTGCTACACCGGCTTTCCCTTCACCGAGACGCAGGCTTGCGGGGCCGCCACTGCTCCAACGCCCGGTTGAGATCGAGTCTGGGGTCGCTATATCTTATCTTGGAGGCGTCACTGCGTTCAGAAACAAGGGCCAACTGTCAGTGTGGGATTTGTTGCGGCGGGAGCATGTATGGCTTTGACTTGCAGGATAGTCGGCGTGATATCCCCCTGAATTTTGCCTTTGAGCTCGATGTGCACACCTAGCTCCATGTCGAGCTTCCCTGCAGGTGTGCCCTTCTTGGCATCTTTCTTGCCAGGTTCGGCATTGACCTGTCGCTCTCGCGTATCACTGCCATCGCTGGTTGGTCTGCTTGCCGCCTGCTTGCCGCCTTACTCTGGCTGGTTTCTGGCTTGGCTGTCGTTCTGTCGATTTTCTTCAGCTGATGTTTTCCCATCTTGCTAGCTTGGTGCGGCGGTCAAGGAGGGCGTAGGGTGTTGAGTTCTTATTCAGTCAAGGTAAAACTGTACAGTCTTTTGCCGTGCCCTCTTATGATACATGAACCATGACAGCGCTCGACTTCTACAGCAAGCAGATCGTCGTGCCAAGATGATCATTTAATGTGAAGCCCAATGACGTAAGGCTATTATTGCATGTAGACCTCTGTATGACATCACAATCAGACCCGTGAGTGTGTCCGAAAAAGTGCATCATCCACGCCCCCAAAAAAGAAGAAAAAAAAAACGCCAAAAGAATAAAAAAAACCCGGCGGCATTAAAGCCAATGCTGTTGTACAAGGGCTGGAGATGCCGGCCTCCTACTTGGTCCCCGGAGTCTCCCTCGTCCCGCCGCCGCTCCAAAAGTCCTTGTGCACCTTGTCGCCGGCCGCAGGCCCGGCGCGGTCGTGCCTCTTCTCAAAGTCGCGGTTGTGCTCCTCGACCTCGCGCCTTTGCTCGTCGGTGAGCTTGTCCATGCCCGAGTTGCCCGGCACGCTCGCGTTGGAGATCTTGGGCTTGGGCGGCGCGTTCTCCGACGTGCTCTCGAGCGGCTCGCCGCCGCCCGTCTGTCCCTTGGCCGACCGCTCCGCGAGCGTGTCGATGCCGGCCGTCGTGGGGTCGGCGGTGCTGTTGGTGGTGGTTCTGTTGGCGGCTTCGGCCGCGTCCTTGGAGCGGGAGCCGCCCGACTCGGCGCTAGGGCCCTCGGACTCCTTGGGTGCCGACGTGGACGTGTAAGCGCGGTGCTGTTTTGTGCTGATGTCTGTGGTTGCGAAGAGGGTGGCTGGCCTGGCGCTGTTTGAGGCCGTTCTGGGTTTCATCGCTGCCAGGGAAGGCAGGCTGGACCTCGGAGCCTGGGCAAGTGCCCTGAGGCGAGGGAGCGATGCGGACAGTCGATGCATGGCTGCTGTGGGCGTGGGAATGGCTTTGGGCTGTCTGGTTTCGATAACGAAGAATTGCTTTTTGACAGTCTGGTGAAAGTTGAGGTAGGCGGATTACGAGGTAGAATGGAGGGAAGAACAAATCAGAGCAGACAAAAGCGAGGTTGGCCTGCCCGGTCGAGGTGCCGTGGCAGGGACGACCTCCAGTTTGATGATGTCATTGGCAGTCATCTGAGTCCTCACAAGGTACAGGGTTAGGGTCGGCAACGCCAAGCCCCTGAGCGATCCGAGTTGTAAACCCCCACAAGAGCTCAATCTCAAGCAATGTGGTAAACTACCTAGATATACAAGACAGTACGTAGATAAAACCCCTAGCTAGGTACTGCTTCCTTTGCTTGGCGACCGTTCCCATTTTAGCTCCTTCACCAAGAAAATCTCAAGAGCAGTTTTGAGCCGCGATATCGTTGCTGGCCAAGTACTGCGATCGTTCGTGGCTTGAGAAATCGTCTGGGCGGGCTTGCCGTCCTCGGACAGGTAGGCCCCCAGGTGCAGGACCTTGCCTTTGTCCTTGGGCCAGCCCTCGGCCCCGTTCTTGGCCACGATGGCCTCCCTGAGCCGCAGCAGGTTCTCATGCTCGCGCCTGGTGAAGCACACGATGTAGTCGAACTTTCTAAAGAACTCGCGCCGCATCCCCACCGACCGCCTGGCCCGGAGCACCTTCTCCAGCTTCGCCTTGCTGTCCGGGTCGCAGCCCTTCCACCACGGCGCCGTGCCCGACCCGTCCGAGTTGGGTTGGAACAGGAGGTCCAACGCCTCCCCGAACGGGGATTCGTTGCCCTTGGTCATGGGCAGGTTGAAGCTGGCGATAGCGTGGGGGAGGCTCTTGATCTCGTCGATACAGTCGCTCTGGTTCTCGACAAAGTAGCCGGCCGATTGGACGGTTGTGAGGAGCGGGCGATCGCCGCTCTTGCGGGCCGTGTAGTCCAGCAGCAACAACATTGCTTGGCAGACGACGGAGCGCTCGAGGTTTCCTGGGTCAACGAAAAGTATGGAGTGCCCGCTGCGCGGTGGTGACGGCGAGGGCTTTGGCGGTCTCGCAGGCTTGGCGGCCTTGATGGACTTTGGAGGCTTGGGCTGGTTGATAACAGGTGGCTTGGTGCCGGCGTCGGTCTTCTCTTTGGGCTTTTCGTCTTTCTTTTTGTCGTTCTTATTCTCCTTGGGCTTAGCCTCCTTCTGTTCCTTCTGTTCCTTCTGTGCCGCGGGTTTGCTCTCCTTGACCTTGTCTTCTTTTTTTTCCTTTGCATCCCCGTTTGTCTTCCCGGCAGACTTCTCCTTCGTATTTCCATTGGTCTTCTCCTCGGGCTTTGCAATTTTTGCCTTCCCCTTTTGTTCCGACTTTACTTTTCCCTCGTCCTTGGGTTTCTGACCCTCTGGAACCCCGCGAATGACCTTTGGGCCTATACTCGGAGTCTTCGCAAGATGGCCAGGCCCTGGCGGCTCCTTTTCAGCCTTTTTGGCGGGCTTGGTAGTAGCCTTAGGGGGCTTTTTCTGGACCTGTCCGTTGACTGCCGTCGCGGTGTCCATGCACTCCCGCTCCTTCGCCTTTTTCGCCTCGGCCTTTGTCTTGACCAGCGCGTCCACCAAAGTTTCTAGGCGGGCGTTGATAGCCTGGAGTTGTGCATCTTTCTTGGCCGCGTCGGCTTTCAGGAACTGGATCTCCTTTCGGCTCTTCTCCAACGCCGCCTTTTCTTTCTGCTTGGCCTCTATATCGGCCTGTAGGCGCTTTTTGGGTATGATGTTGATGACGGTGAGGATGAATTGTATGTTTTGGCAGCGCACCTTGATTCTGTGCATCAAGCCCTTGACCTTTTCGGCACCGAATCCGAAACGATGCCAAGCCCAAGCAACCCATTCGGCGCGGGCCCGGATGTCGTGGCCGCCCAGGTAACCGAGATGGCGGCTCTTGACGTTTTTGAATACGGAGTGGACTTCCTTGCAGGCTGCGGAAGCGTCCTGGACCGCATCGACCAGGGCCTTTCGGTTTTTGCTATCGAGACGGCCCAGAGGCTCCGTCTCTTTGGGGTCTTTCAGCAGGTTGGCGAGGGTGCTAAGAGGGGCACCCAGCCCTTCCAGCTCAATCTTGAGTTCGGCGATCTCTTCAGGGACTGCCTGAATTTCATTGTACACTTCGAGGGCAAGCTTGATGTAGCCCACTGCCTCCTGAATGGTCGCAAGACTCAGAGCCATGATGGTCGTGGCGAATGCGTGATTGAAATCTTGCGCTGGCTCGGCAGGATTACGTTTCTGATCACATCCCTCCGGTTGTGTGCTTTGCGGGAAGCCCCAGGATCTTATAGCATGCCTACTCGACCGCAGCCGGGCAGGCTGGCAGGCTGCCTCCCTTGCCTGTGCTCGGCAACCAGGAGGGGCCAATCGTGGGACGGGTGATTGCATTGCATACGGCGGAATTTACAGAACTCAGCGGCTGATTGGGGCTGAGCACAGGGCTTTGCGCCATTGCTTGCTGACGGCTGGCCTTGCATTTCTGCCTAGAGGCTGTTGGTGGCTCACTGCGCCCTGCAGGCAGATATTGCTGGTGCGGGAGGTAATTTCTTTATCGGGATGGCGAAGGGCAGGCAACGCTTATAGTCCATTCCTTGGTAGAGTGAGACAAAAGGGATTTGAATACGTTAATAGTCCAAAGCGTATCGAATTTAGGGAGCGAGATGGTAAAATGGATGCTGAAAAATAAACCGAGGGAAAAAAGAGAGTATCGGAAGGAAACTTTGTTTCGACAACGGCAGGACTCGAACCTACGCGGGCGAACCCATGTGATTTCTAGTCACACCCTTTAACCACTCAGGCACGTTGCCTATCTTCCGATGGAGGGGTAATGCTTGTGCTAGCCTCATATTGATGCGATGGAGGCGGATCTGCCACTTTCCCCATAGCGTTCTTGCTCTGATAATACGCATCAATACAAAACTCCCCTACCTCAGCCACTCGAGTATCCTACGGTCTATCGTTTCCTTCGGCCAACCAAATGGCGTCCTAGATACCTCAGGTTGATGACAAATTTTCTATGTTCTCAACCGAGTCTTGCCGCGGCCTCGAATGTTGAGGAGCCTTGGACCCTGTCGGCACCGAAACGAGTCAGGCCTGCGTGTCAGTATCGCGTGCTTCTGCAAGGTGACGCCACTGACAGCCCGAATTTTTCCGAGCAACCTTAGCATGAGCACAGCCTCCCTTCCATGTTTTGAAGATCGCCAGACTTGCCGGGGCACAGCACAAACAACATGCACAACATGGGCATTTAGAATCCGTTTATGCGGTTGTGGTGGACTCCCTCGCCGGATCGTCGGTAACCCGCGTGGGAGACGCAAGCACTCGCCCATCCCAGGGCACGAGTGTCGACGGGGTCGAAGCCGGACGCCCGTTTAAGCTCTTCCCTCCCCTAGCAGCCTATAGGCAGCCCTGGGAGACCTTGCTCAGAGCCTACCCAGTCCGTCCAATGCCCCAGCCAAGCGCTTCCCGAATAGCCCCCTTAAACCTTATTTTGGCTGCAGCTCGCAGTTGTTGCCGAAACATTTTTGTCCATATTCGGACGCTTGGCGACGCTGCATTGGCCCCTGCCTTCACCAGCTTGGTACCTATCTATCTCCAGCATGACCGACGCCAGCCGGCTCTCTCCTGGGACGCATGGCTCTGCCTGCACTTCTATACATGGCCGCTAGCAGAGATCACGAGATATTTTTTAGCGTCTACCAAATGACTGCGCATCCTCGCCCTCGATATCGAAGACGGCACGACGTCCTCGAGCTCGGAGGAATGCCCTCGTTTTCCTGACGGATAACGGACACCTTCTCTCTCGATCTGGGCTGCCTACCTCTTCCCACAGAGTCGCAACGACCTGTCTCCTGCGAGGCTGGAAGCCCACCCGAGAGGAGGGGACTTGCGATTTGTGCGTCCCATCGGTGCAACCATTGCCACTCTTGGTCGAGTCGCCATCCCCTGCCCCTGTTGACGCACCAGGGTCCACCGACTTGCTACCGATGCCATTCTCGGCAGCAACATGCTTTGAAGATAGCAGGGTCTGGGAACGTCGATAAACACGTTCCTTTTTCTTTTTTGCCTTCGGAGCCCCGCGTGGGAACTGCATGTCGCTACCGGAAGGCCTTCGGCAGTGGATTGAAATTAAAAGGATCCCGTGTAGCCGTTGCTGTTGGAGGATGAACACCGTTCTCTTCCCTATATCTATTTCCTTTTATGCCGGCACTACAACAACCTCAAGGCCGGGATTCGTTTCAGCAAACATTTCCTTGAATTGAAGTTTATATCCTTATCTACGCCTTTTCTAAATATCCTGTTCGCTACGCCGAGCGTACATACTCTTTTTTTTATAAAAAAAAAAAAAAAAATGCTTGCATCCGTGCCCATCACTTTTATCATGCTCCTTACGAGCCTGGCTGCTGCCTTGCCAGCACCGGTAAGTGACAGAGACAGCCCTGCCCTGCCTTTTTGCGTATATCAAATCCAAAACTGACGGTTCCTCCTCAGGCCCCCTACCCCAGAAACCTTTATGTGAAGATCGCACCCTACGTCAACAACTACAATGCGACCAGGAACTACAACAACACTGTCTGCCTCGACGGCAAGACTAACGGACCCGTGGTCGGGCACACAATAGTGCAGGGCGACACGCTCACCAAACTCGCGGCCAGTTTCCAGTCGGGCATCTGCAACATCGTAAAGGCGAGCAACATCACCAACATCGACCTCCTCAACATCGGCCAGATGGTCAGAGTCCCGACCAAGCTGTGCCGCCACGTCGTCGACGATAAGACCTGCCTGCCCACGCCCGGCACCCGCATCTGCCTGCCCGATGGGCCCGCCACGCGCGTCATCCAGCCCGGCGACAGCTTCATCGGCATCTCGCAGAAGCTGAACCTGACCGAGGCCGCCGTCGTCGGTGCCAACAAGGACGTCGACCGCTTCAAGCTGCGGGTAAACCAGACCATCAGCCTGCCCGTGTGCGGGAAGTAACAGCGGGCTTGGGGAGATTGCAGATTTCTGTTCGTGTGGTCCGTTCTAAAATGAGGGCGCTTTCTGTACTTGTAATCTTCATGTTATTTCGACGACTAGCTTCTACGTCTGTTATGGGATTTGACAAGAGCCCTGTGTTTGTTTTGCTATCAATATACCTCGTCATGCTGCGGCATGCATGTTTCTGATTTCAACCAAATGTGCCCTTATCGTCGTCACAAGACGCGATTGTCAGTGTTGCTTGTGATCGCCCAATGTGATTCGAGGCCGCCCATTGCGGGCCTCCGATTCGCTGCTACAGCTTGGCTCCGAGATGCGAATGCGACGCGCTGCGAGCTCTAAGCTGTAAACAGCAGGACGTATTAGCGCAGTCTTGCCTGGTGTTTGCAACCTGGATTTCCGAAGGATTACGGGTGCCTGCTTATTTGATCCACATCAGTTCCTCTCCGGCTGCTAGTCACCAATAAAGACAGGGCTCGCCGAGATGGAGAATTATGCGGTGGCATCCGGCTTGAACCGGCTTCGTGGTGTTCTATACCGTAATGATCAGCGTACTGCCCCGCGGGAAGTCCTTAAACACCTAAAAGGGTCACTGGGTTCGAAGGTGCTGCAGGTCTCAACGACTTTGTGTTTCCTTCCTAAAAAAAAAAAAAAATGATAATCTGCCTTTATCGAGTGACTCGGCGGAAAAAGCCTGAGGGAGCCGAGGCAGAGCAATAATCTAAGGATCCGGGCATCCTTCTCCAGCGTGTCAAACCGGCACCTGGCGCTCTGCTCTGTGGGCCTCCGGGAATAAGCAATGCCCGCCAACAAGCGTTCGCATAAGGATGGGTTACTGTCTAAAAAAGGCTAGAGCCTCCCTGGGCAAGTCAGCCGCTAGAGGAATCAAACCCCTGGTCACGCCTCGATGAGGATGCATAGGATACAACCTCCCATGTCAATATTGCGACGGCGGTAAGCCCTCAGAGCCCAAACTGACGGTAACAGAAGCGGTAGGTGCTTTTCGGTGAGAGCTACCAGGGGATTTTTGTGGGCAATATTCCAGCGTCACCTGGACCGCGGTCTGCGAGGCGTGTCTTGGCCCAAGATGGGGTGCCGCAGGATGGAGGATCAAATGAGAAAACAGCCACAGCGGCGGACTTCGGCGCACAGGAGGCTATCGTGAACTCCGGGCCTCGCAATGTCCGAGATTAGGGGCTGGCGTCGGTGATGGAAGATGTGTGTAGACAAGAGAGGTATAAAACACCAATGTTCCCTCTTGTTTCTCGTCGACGATGGAACGCGGAAAGCAGGCCAGGCAGCGGAGACGACAGCGGCGCATTCCTACACTCCTCATCATATATAGATATCTCACTCGCTCACTTTGAGAGTTTATCTTGTTGTGTCATCATCATGTTCTCAGGAAAGACTGCATCTCTCCTCTCCGCCCTCGTCGCGGCCGGCGGGCTGGTGCTGGAGGCGGAAGCCCAGCTGAGCAAGCCGGCCCTGCGGTCCAACCTGGATGCCTTCTGGCCGCAACTGCAGCTCGCGCTGCGCCAGCCTGGCTACTCCATCACGCAGTGGCCCTCGGGCACCATCTCCCAGGGCTGCAAGGACCTGGCCAACAGGGAGAAGATCGACCCGAGGACCATGGTGACCTACGAGGTCCTGTACAACGACGTGAGCAGACAGCCGTTTTTTATATCCGTCCATCCATTCACTCCTAGCTGGGGAGACGCAACGTTTAGCTGACAACCTCGCCCATTCCGCCCCTTAAAATAGTGCTCTGTCCCCTGGCTCCTCTGCCGCCACCCCAACAGCGCGACGAGCATTGAGACGATGGTGCACCGCTTCGGCCAGGTGCCCGTCAAGATGAGGCAGATGACCAAGGATGTCATGCTCATCCCGGCCGCGAGCACGCACGCGTACGCGCTCGGGAACCAGGTCGTTTTCTTCAACCAGGTCGACACCATCGGCGTCTACCTCCACGAGATCGCCCACACCGTCGACTTTGCGGCCGCCTATGCCGTCTCGGGCCAGCTGCAGTGTAAGTTTGGGACTTGTGAATGCGTTGTTTAAGCTCATGTTGCTAACAAGCCCTGGACGCAGCCGACCCAATCTGGCTCAACGCGTATAACGCCGACAGCGCCGTTCCGGACAACTATGCCCGCACGAACCAGGTCGAGGTGCGTAGCGTCTTCCGTCCTCATCTTATTTCAAATCCCAGCGAGCACCTGGCTAACGCCCCACCCGCTCTCAACAGAACGTCGCACAGTTCCCAGGCCTGGCACTCTTCGACCAGCTGGTAGCGGGCGGCCTGCGCTCCATCGAGCCCAACGTCGACCGCATCGGCAACCAGCTGTCCGTGCTCAAGGACCAGGCGGCGCGCGGCGACTACGGCGGCGACATCCTGAACACGCGCAACACCTGCAGCGCGCGCTGGCCCAACAGCCCCGCCGTGCCCGCGGGTTCCACCTCGCGCCTCATGGAGGCCTCCGCCGTCGACTTCTTCGCCGCCCGCGATGACAGCGTCGAGGCCCAGACGGCACGCGCCGCGGCCGTGGGCGTCCAGCTGTTCCCCTGGAAGATCGAGGGTTCTATCGAGCCGACCAACTGCACTGGCCATATCTGAACGGCTGTTTTTTTTGAGCTGTAAAACCAACCATCTTGCGTACCTATATACTTGGTCGAATGTTTGGGCTTGAAGTGAATTGGTTAGTTTTTGGATACTTGCGGACAAGCACGTACATAAGAACGTTTACGCACTGGGTCGTCCCGTCCCGGTAAGCTGAGGAGTCAAGCAACTGCCGGCGATCGGCAGTCTAATATCGCCGATGGCTTTTACCGGGAG